GTGTGTGTGTGTGTGTGTGTGTGCGCGCGCGCGCGCGTGTTCCATTGTGTGCCAGAGAGTGTGTTAATTCCACCTGAGCGTCAGCACGACAGCAGCTCAATAAACACTTTATCTAATGAAGCTCGGCAAAGCTCCTGCAGAGGCCGTCGCCACGACAACCGATGCCGGTGCTGGGGTTGGGAAAAAAAGAATTGAGCGGGCGGGTGACTCATGCACTCTTTTCCCACGTCACGCCCCAATGCCGGTGGTGCGTGCGCGTGAGATGCTTCTCTGAAGTTCCAACTCTCTCCAGGCTGACATTGAAGCACCTCGAGTGGCAGCTATGTCATGCTGCGAAAGTGGTATTGATGTGTTAGTATCGGAGCTTTTTTTTTTTTTTTTTAAATCACACTAAAAGGTATCTGCACCAATATGATAATGTTGTCGGTTTTCGTGTACAAATAAGTCAAAATAAAAAAAGGGGAATGTCATTGCCGACAGAGCTTCAGTTATCGGTCGCTTGACGGGATGATGAATGTCGAGTGAACGCCTGTATCGCATGACCACATACGTGACTGCAAGCGAGAACTTGCGCTCACAAACATGTCCGTCGGTCACGGTACGAATGACGCATGGTCACGAACACGTGACTTGCTCTCGACGACGGACAAGAATGGTGGTAATGATGAGGAGGAGGATGAAGAGGAGGATGATGGATGGGTAAGCGATGGGATCTGGCCAATCACGATACCTTGACAGATGCCGGCTGCGACCTCTCCGTCAACTCCGTCGCGTGAAGCGAAAACGAACTCCGACAAGACTCAACAAAAAGAAATGTTAAAACGTCTTCTGCGTGAACGGCGAGTGACCATTTCATGATGATAAAATGATTATTTGGCCAATATTAGCTGTTCTAAAACGTTTTGAAAATTCATTTTATCTGTGGTAAAAAAAAATACGTATTATTATTATTCTTATTATTATTGTAAAAATGTTCTTCCGGTCATGAGTATCTTTAAAATTATCACTGTTAAAGAGGCAAAAAAAGAAGTTATTTTATTCATTCAATTGCTGTATAAATTCATCGGTCGATCAATTTAAATGTTCGGCATCGCACAAAAAAAAAACTGTCGCGACTGACCTTCACTTGCCTAAAAAAATAAAAATAAAAAAAATAATGCTAAGCAGTAGCCAACGTAACTTCACAATTCAGGCAGCATTACCGTCGTGCGGCGCGACAAGCTGTGCAGTGGCAAAGCAACCCCGTTGAGAAATTTGAGTGCAAATGAGAGGACAGGACAAAAAGGGAACATAATCACGGGAGTCTGTATGGCAATTATCATCAAGAGCGGCCCCAAACCAGCAACTAAATTCCACGAAGACACGCTACGCTCGTACAGCACCAACGTCATACTGTACATGCATGTCAGTAATCATGCGCTGGAATTGCTGCGCAAGCACAACGACGGCGGGCCGACTAGCGTCCATCAATCCGAAACGGTCTGCCCATCTCACTGGATTTTCTTTTGGTGACTAAGAGAAGAGGTTTGCGTCAAGGCGGGCAGGAAAAGACGGTGGGAGTAAATATAAGGTGGAGTCTCACTCCTACACAATCCATACTGACTCAACACACAATGGCATCAAAGTAGTGCACAGTTTGTGAGTGTGTATGTGTGTGACTTTCCATTCCAAAGTTCAACTCTCCCGAGGCCTTAAGGGCTTGACCTGACAGCACCTCAAGTGACAGTGATTTGTTACGCGAGAGAGAATGTGTGCTTGCGAGAACCGAGTGTCCCCGGGACAGAGCGGAGGGAGGTGGAGGGCTCATTTTGTTTTCTGTGGCATGCGTGCACACGCTGGAACGCAAACACACGTGCGCACAAACACTACAATTACGCGAAAGGACGCGGCAACGCTCACACAGAAAACAGACTACGCGATAAACAAACTGTGTGTTTGTGTGTGTGTGTTTTAGAACATCTTTGTTTGTTTGTTTTGGAAAGATTTCCCCCCCCCCCCCCCCCCCCCCTCACATCATTGTGCATATTGTCGTGCATGGGACATTTCGGACAATACTTTCTTTCCATCTGTTCCAGACCGGGAATATAATCCAGATTATGGCACATGACCCCCCCCACCCCTCCCAACTCACATAATAGCGGCACACGCTCGTTGTATTACAATAACACACACGCAAGGACACACACAATCCTGTCGGGAGTGAGTGCGCACACACTTGTGGTATCTGGGTCATTTGTTGAGTGATTTGGGATCGGTCGAGTCGCCCCAGTGCCCTTCATCACATCATCGGGTCGAGCGTCATGATCGGATCTTAGAATAGTTGGGGACCTTCTCTGCCTCTTTTTCATGCTCTCAATGAAAAAAGTGTGTGTGTGTGTGTGTGTGTGTGTGTGTGTGTGTGTGTGTGTGTGTGTGTGTGAGACCTCCAAAGCCAGGCCTCATGGCGAAGTCGTGCTCCTCGATTCTCAGCAGCTGTTCGGTTTTGATCAGCAGAGTTTTGGTGCTGTCCTGCTTCTTCAGTTTGTAGTCGATGCGTCTAGCCAAAGAAAAACACACACACGTGCGCCGTGAGCACAAAAATTCCTCGAACGTGCCCCCAGTCCCGTAGCACATCAGATTAGATCAGATTACAAGGTCACGAATGACGTGGCCTTGTTGCCAATTTAGGCATTTGCTTGCTGTATTTTGTGACTAGCCGAGGTAGTACACCCATCCAGGCATCCATTTTGTAATCCGCTGATCCCCACGAGGGTCGCGGGTGTGCAGGAGCCTATCCCAGCTGTCTTCCGGCAGTACGCGGGGGACACCCTGAACTGGTTGCCAGCCAATCGCAGGGCACCAATCGCACTCACACTGACACGAAGGACAATTTCGAGTGTTTCATTGACCTGCCATGCATGTTTTTGGCATGTGGGAGGAAACCGGAGTACCCGGAGAAAACCCACGCAGGCACGAGGGGAGAACAGGGGGGGCCACACGGGGAGGCCGGAGCCGTAATCGAACCCTTGCATGTGTGTGTGTGTGCATCCCTCACCCTCCAAACTTGAACTTGCTGTTTTCCCCGAGGAAGACCTCCTTGTGCCTCCTGCGTCCGGAGCTGCGGCCACCGGTCACCATGGCGACCAGGCTGGCGACGGCCACGGTCAGGCAGGTCAGTACGTCGACCTTCATCTTTCACAGCATCACCCCAACCCACAGCAGCCGACACCTCCGCCCGCCCCACCCCGCCTCCTCCAAGACGCCTCCACCTCTTCTGCGCTCCAGTCGGGCCCACTAACGACGGACGCTGACGTCAATCATCTGGCGGAGGGTGGCCAACGCTTGCAGAAGCATCTCGGGAAGTGGTCCCTCTTCTTCATCTCAGGGACGGTTTGCCTCCGGGGCGCTCGTCGGTCGTCCTCCGTCTGCCTGCCGCCTGCTTCATCTGTATATTGTTCTCTCTCTCTCTCTCTGATTAAAATCGATATGAATCCATTTCTCCCGGCGATAGAGGAATGACACTAATTCCACGCTAATCCTCTTATGCGCGGACACAGCAATCTTTCTTTAACCTACAAACACACACACACGCACACACACACACACACACACACACACACACACACACACACACACACACACAGAGCGCTAATCGTGATTTTCTCGCAGCTCCCTGAAAAATAAGGCACCTGTTGGAATTGCACCTTCAACTTTTATGCGTGCGTGTGCACCCACGCAAAGAAGAGCGTCTCTCTCTGCGCGCGCGCGCGCGCGTGTGTGTGTGTGTGTGTGTGAGGCGACAAAACAATTCAGAAACGTGGCGACCGCAATCAAACAATAAAGTCGTCACGCTAATCCTGACAAATTGCGCCTGATCCAGCCTCATCTCACACCACAAATTACACTCCTGGAAAGTCATAATCCAACACACACACACACACACACACACACACACACACACACACACACACACACACACACACACACACACACATGCACGGAAACAAACTTGGTTGCGTGCCAAAAGCTAAAATGTGTTGTTTTGCCTTCAGGCTACGTCTAATGTAAGCATTTTGCTTTGGCGGCATTTTGTTACATCGTGTTGAAAAAGGAACTATGTTGAAGTGACGGGAGGGTCTTCCTTTCACCGGGCCACAGCCTCGTGTTTGCGTTCACTGTGTTCAATCAAATCAATGGATGGATTATTTTCCCGGTGCTTTTGATTGTGTGCACGAAAAGGGATTTGTGAATGAGAAAACGGAATCAACCTTGAGGGAACAAAAGTGAATTTTGGCGCAACATGCAAGCTGCCCTTTGAAAACAAACCCCTCTGACATTTCGGCAAACGGGTTGCCTGTGCGCGCGTGCGTGCGCGTGTCCAAGCAAGCTCCGCCCACGGCGAGAGAGACCGAGTGTGCGGCGGACTGTGTGAGAGGGCGTGCGCGAGTGTCTATTCTCTAAATAACCTGTTGATCCAGTCAAGCTCGGGTGCTCGCGGGGCTCTATCACTCACTCGCTCAACTCTTCCTCTTTCGCCTCAAGTCAGCGTAAGTGCTCCCCGACTTCCTCACATCTGGCTCCTCTCTCGCACTTCATCACGGGTGTCTACTTGGGACCCAATCTTCTGTTCTTCTCACATCGCCTTTTGCACCTCCAACATTTCACACATCTCAGAGGTACTGATGTCAGGTTTGCCGTGGTGGTTTTGAGCTCTCACTCCTCTCAGGGTTTGAAAAGTCTGGCTTCTTTCGTCTCACTCCTCTCTCGGTTATTTCTGAAGACATCCTAACTCGCACTTTGTGGCATCTCGCTTCGCTCGCACACTCATGCCTCGCTCATCACTTCAAGTTTAGGCGTCTCAATCCTTTCGCCAACCTCAGACGTCTCTGCCTCCTCTCACACATTCTCAGACTTTCTGATCTCACTCTTCTCGGGAGTGCCGCGATGCCTCACTCATCTCACATCTGTCATTCCATTCCTGAAATGATTTGGGCGATCTCGCGCCGCTTCTCGACTCACTCCTGACAAACTGACGTCTCACTCCTCTCACACATCAAAATACCAAAAGAATCTCGGGAATAGTGATGCTCCGAAATTCATCGCAGCATTTTCTTTCACTCATTTGCCTCTTTCATGCGGGAAGCTATGCGTTGCTTTTATTTTATTTTTTACCTGCCATGTGAAGCGGTCAAACACACAAACGGTGGTCAGTGTCACGAACGGTGCTGATAAAGTGGTTTAATAATAAAGCAGTTATTAATATCATGCGCCGGCTGGACTCGTGGAAGGGATCAGGTTTTAACCTGCGGCTAGTCATTGATTCCACCGATCGGCTGACTGTTGCGTTTTGTCCGTCGCGGCAGTCAAGAGACGCCTGAGGCACGATGTGCCGATGTCGTTATTTGAAGAGCCGCGGCTCCCGATTGTGTCAGCAGCAGCTTTACTTTTTTTCTTTTTTCTTTTTTGTGTGTGTGTTGATGTTTTGTTTTGAATTGACGCGCGTTTATCGGCTGTGGATTAGCGCGCTTCATCTGGCTTTGCGTCGGAGCGTGACGAGCTCTTGCGCTCTATCGCCTCACTCATCAGGTCGTCAGCGCAGATAAAGAGATGCCAAGAAATGCCAAAGAAAGCGCGACGGGTGTCAGAGGAAGAAGGAAAAGAAGAAAAAAAAACATTCTCCGGAAGGACATAACTCGCTTTTGATTCTCGACTTTGAGGTGATGAAAAGGGAGGTTGAAGCAAAATCCTCCCAGGGGATCAAAACCTGGATTCTCCCGAAAGAACAGCACATGCTCTGTCACGTTCTCCGTCTTCCTGTGTCCACATCAGCCAGAAGTGCTCTGTCATTATGCCTTTTTCTTTTTCTTATGTGTGCGCATGGGCCGAAAAACCGCACAGATCCAAAGAAAAACCTGCAAGGAAGCAGCACGGCGACGCAGCGGACAGCATGGACTGAAGGCTGCATGATTCTACGGCCTCAAACCATGTCGGCATTTATTTGCATCTGGGCCTGCTTCCTGCTCCGGATCAGCGCGACCGCCGCCGCCGCACAGGACAAGACGCCAGGTGAGAAACAAACACGTCTTTGTCCCGCGACGAACCGGCAAAAACCCCGGGAGGGTTCGCTTTGAGAGGAAAATCGGATCGCGTATCTGGCTGGAACAGATAGGGCCTGATTGACAAAAAGCAATTGAAAACCAGGACACGATTTTGTACATCTGAAAGGCAGGAAACCGGAGAATGGATCTTTTTTTTTTTTAATGTAGCCAATTTTGAAATGCCAGAAACAAAAATAATTTGCCGAGTAAGCAAAGCGGTTTTTGAGCTTCTGAATCGAAGGCGGTCTTAGCTGGAATTAAGCTTGTCACAATGAGGCAGCTTTGGCCTGTCAAGACAAGTCAGCAGGGGCGAAGCGGCGGGGCAAAAAATGTGCTGCGGGGGTCTTTGCTGACCGTTCAACTCCGCTCCAGACTAATTGCAAGTCACATTTTGACATCTGATGGGACACGATTGGATTTGTTTCCTCTACTGCGGTGGGTCTTAAATTATTACATAAAATTTGCAATACAAAAAGTGTATTTCTTCATACAGGAGGACTAACGTTCTAAATTACCCCTCGCTAGCTTTGACTCTTGCATTAAGTCATTTTTTAAAGGTTTTTTTTTTTTCATTAACAAAAGCTGTATTTTTCAACAATATGCAGTGCATCACTTTTCCGCGATTAAAAAAAAAAATTTCTGTGTACATACTGGGAAAGGAGAGCAGACAGAAAATTAGAAGACTCACATGGTAGCTGCTGATGGCCCCCGCCCACACACGGGAACTCACACGAAGCCTCGCCGACGTTGCACGGCACCTGACCAGGCCACGCCTCTTAAAGGCTCATGTCTAAAATACAGATATGACAATATTTACAGGGTTTTCTATACATTTTATGCGCTCATTTTTTGTGTGTTCCAATACATTTACAGGGTGTTCAAAAAATGTACAATTGATTAATATGACTAATTTGGAGGATTCTAAAAAATTGAGATAATTTTTCTGTCAACAATAGGCAACTTTTTCAACTCCTCGTGATGTCTACGATCGCGATTCAAAATGCTCTCCCCTGAATCCCAAATTTTTGACAACCCCTTTCTCTTTAACTCTGTTTCTGAGGAACAGGTGAGCACATCAAGGAGTTTTCGGGGCTTTGCTAATCTGCGCGGTGAGTCAGCCAAGTGCTTCTGTCTGTGCTGCAATTCAGACAAAGAATTATGGGAACGTCCGTTCCCGTCTGCTTTGCGAGGGAGCAGGCAAATGCTCGAGGAAAAGTCATGCCAGGCCGGGAGACTCGGCGCCTCATTTCAGAGCCTCGGGGGCGACAAAAACACACATCACGTGCTCCTGCAGGAGTCATTTGAACGCCTCCGATGCCTGCACTTGGCTCACAGAAGTCAAAAGTAGAAAGTCTCAAAAATGTGCTCCACTTCCTCTTTTGACGTGATGAACAACCCACATCATGGCCTGTCACAAAGAGCCGAAGTGGAAGTGACACCCACTTAAATACGTCAGCATGGTTTCCAAATCAGTGTAACACGCGTAGTACCTCGACTTTAAGGTGACTTAACCTAGGAGTTTTTCAAAAGACTTGCTTGGTCGGTTTTCCGCAATGCCCTCACATTATAAACCTTTTAAAACATTTTTTCCTTTACATTCTCGTTTTATTGTCTGTTTATATGGACACGGTGTAATAACGTGGCTTCAATTCACTTCGGACGCAGTTGGTTGTATACTCGCTGTCTCCCTCTAGCGGGCAGAGAGAGACACTGCAGCTAAAATCTGCTTTCAGGCTAGAGTTATGCTAAAAGTGGCTAAAGTATCCAGCTGAACCTTACATTGGGGAAAAAAAGCCTTCTAGAACACCTGAACTTTATTTGGGGTTAATTTGAGGCCCTTTAAACATTACTAGGTTTGTGCTGAGTTCCAGTGAAGATGAGTTCAAATCTAATTGGTTAATTCTGAACAACGCCTTCCTCAGTTGTATTGTTTATTTTGACTTCCCCTCACTGAAAATCTCTTGTGCAGGTTGTGGGTGGACATTAAAGATGGAAAAAATGGTATTTTAAACAGAGGGTGTGCAGACTTTTGATATCCACTGATAAAAGATCACCACAGCCTCTTCTTCCCGTTCCAGATGAAACCGTCACATGCTTGGTGTCAGAGGAGTGCCACCTGCCGTGCATGTTCACCCCCGCCCCCAACCAAAGCGTGCGCTGGTTCCGGCGGGACGTGGTAATGTTCAGCTTCGGCGAGACGCACGGCGAGAGCCAGGCGCTGGCCGGGAGGGCCACCATGTTCCCGCCCATGATCGCGGGGGGCAACGCCACCCTGGTCCTCAGGGAGGTTGGTCTAAAGGACCGCGGCATGTACCGGTGTCACGTACGCACGTCCGAGGGGGAACACAGCGCCAAGGTCGTCTTGAAGGTGGAGGGTACGTTTCACGTCTCGTCACGTTTTTGACTCTTCACGACTTCATGATTTCCAGTTCCTGACTTTTTTTTTTATGCTATTTTGACTCCTGTCCGTAAGTGCAGCGCTCATCCACGGCCTTTCCCTGGAGCTTTCGCGGCTGAGCGGTTACGAGGAGATGAAGTGCACCGTGCGAGATGTGTTCCCGCCGCCCCGGGTCACCTGGGCCACGGAGCCGCCCACTTTCGAGGACCTGCGGCCAATCACCCGCATGCTGGCTGACAAGCGTGGTCTGTACACGGCCGACAGCAGACTGAAGGTTCTAAAAGGCCAGCCGGACCTTATCTACATTTGCAAAGTCACCACCTCCTACGGGGGGCCCACGTGGACGTCGTCATTGCGGGAGAGGAGTAAGAGCGTCGACGTTAAGAGCGGAATGAGAACCTTTTCCGGGGTCTCGAAATATCTGTGTTCCAATGATGTCCCCCCGACAGCAATAACAGGAAATGAGGGTCGGGATTTGACCATCCCGTGTTTCGCCCCGCCGTACCTGAACAGCCCTGGACGGCTTCGGGGTCCCGTTCGGAGACGGCTCGCTGCGGCTGATGGACCCCGAGCACACCCGACACCAGGGAACATACAGCTGCATCTTCTCCATGCTGTACAACACGCACACGGAGCGCTCCGACGTCGCCATCAACTTCCCCACTGGTGAGCAGAAGGTTACATCAACATCATGTTTGCAGTCTGCTTGAATTTATACTAAACAAAATGGGCTAATGACAAGAGCTAGTTGGGGTCAGCTAACCCAGAGACATAATAAATGTTGTGTGTGTGTGTATGTGTTGTTTTCACGCGTAGCCAATCGTAGCACCTCACCACAGACGTCTTACTGGTGGATCGTCGGCCTGGTGGTTGCTGTGACGGTCCTAGCACTGACGGCCATGTTGGTCTACCTGAAGCTCCGAGGTGAGACGACGGCAGGCTTGGTGCAACCGTGTGGATGAGACATTCACAATCTCCGTTTGGATGTGTGTCTCAGGAAACGCGGCGAAATCTTCACCCCGTTACCCCGAGGAGGAGACTGAGTTAAATTCGGTCAGAGGTACGGCAGAAGAGACAGGAAAATACTCACACATGAGCACTAGGTGGCGCCATTGTGTTTTCCTGGCAGAGTCCGACTTGCAAAAAACAACCCGAAAAAGACCTACGGGGGGAGTTGCTACTTTTTGCCTTTTTTTCTCCAACAATAATTTGAATCATTGACCATCGAAATTAAATCAGTTTCAAAAATACTCTATCATATGAAGCAATAAAGTAATTCAGACGTTTGACAGCATGCGTAAAAGACGTTTTGAATTTGTTACATTTCCCTTTGAGGGATTCAAATGAGCAAAATAAATTCCAATTAAATTTCTCGATTAAAAAAAAACACCTTTTATAAATAAAAATGTCATATATAATACAGTATATATTAATATAATATCAACCCAGATTTTTTTCTGGCAGGTTTAGCACAATATATTACAACGAACTGCACTTGACATTCAGTACAAAATTATTTTGATCCATTTTATCTTCCTATTTACGTCAATTAGTCCTTGTGGGATTACATTTAGTGCAAGGAAAATCACATTCGATGTACATGCAGACCAAATTTGTACGTTGTACATTCATACTGTATTCTGAACCGCTTATTTCCATCCGCCCCTGTAAACCGTCCTACCAACTCGCATGGTCGTCTTGGCAAAAGTTTTACGCCGGATGCCATTCCTGACGCAACCCTCCCCATTTCTCCGGGCTTGGGACCGGCACTGGGGAACAGTGCACCCCCAGGGGAGGGCACTGCCCCCCAGCGGCTGGGTTAAAATCACATTCGATGTACATGCAGACCAAAATGTACATACACACTAGATGGCACTCCTCTGTCACCAAACATTTGTAAGAACTATTTTTTCCCATGAGGGATTCAAATTAGCACAATCAATGGTGCTAAAATATGTATTTTTATGCAAATATAACTCATTAAAAACATTTCATGTTCATATGAATTTGTCCTTTGAATTCATATGCATTCAGCGGCATGAAAGCTGCATGACTGCATTTTATTTACTGCTTTACCACATCTGGGGAATTTACTATTTGTGTGAGATGATATTTCTCTCGAATTGCTTACGGTATTTTGTGGCCTTTTCAGATGTGGAGGGTGCAGGTGAGAACACCCGTCATTTTCCCGCTGGAGACAACAACGGACAGCCGGGCCTCTCCTGACCCCACCACGGACACGCACACATGAACATGCTGTACTACGTGTCTATAGTGTCAAGACATTTTGTATGACGTGATGTATAGTATCTACTCACAAAACAAAAAAAAAACCAAACAAACATTGAGATATATTGGGCTTTCATTTTAAATTTATGGATCAACCTAAAATGCATTATGAGCTTGAAAGGTGAACCTTATCGGACCTTTGGTCAACTTTTGAAAGCCCGTGTGAAACTGTTAAATGTTTCCGTACTTTTTTGGATTCAAAAAGTACGGAATGCTGGGCAAAGGGCAAAATTCAGCGTGGGTGTTTGATGATCACGTCTTCGCTTTTCTGGCACTCTTCCAGCATCTCTGTTCGCTGCCGATGACACTCCGGCGAGGCTGCAAACCAGTTTTCAGAAGGAGACGGCGGCCATTGAGCTTGGAGTGTCATCAGCAGGTTGTGATCGAGACTGGAAGTGGGACAGAAAGGCATTGAAGTGGATTTCCTGGGAAACTTTCTTGGATCAAAAACAAGCCTCCTGAATTTGGGCGTTCAGCTCCCTAGAGAGAGAGAGAGAGAGAGAGAGAGAGAGAGAGAGAGAGAGAATGCAATCCAGATGTGCTTTTGAGAAAGGGAGGCCAAAATGGAATGCAGCCCGGGAGGATACCAAAGAGGGCTTGCTGGAATGTTTTGCTGACATCTAGCCTGCATTGACTCAGAGGCACTCAGTGCCACAGTGTATTCATGTCCAATCACCCACTGAGGGAACCACAAACAAACATCAATGTCTGCCTGTGGAAACTGGGACACAGGGCAGTATTCCGACACCATAACGACACAGACACAGCTCACTTGCCTCACTTAAGAAACTGAAGGGAAAACGGATGGCTTGGCCGAGCATGTCCCCAGAACTAAACCCTGTTGAGCGTCTGTGGGGCGTCATCAAACGGAATGCGGAGGTGCTTGATGCCTACAACGTCCACTTTTGTTGCCATCAATTTCAATAGCCGTGTGTTGAGTTGTGAGGAGGGGCAATAAAAATATTGACCCAAATTTGAGGGGTGTCCTCACTTTTGTGCACCCATAAACTATTTTGAAATTGGGCGATAGTTTCAACTGAGCAACAGAATGGGTTTGAGTTCCGTTTTTTTTTCATTCATTTCTGCTGTCTGATTTTATCATGACTTCACCGAGTGACGCTCATTAAAAGTTAAACCTTTTCATAAGAGCAGGAATGCCGCTGTAAAAAAAAAAAAAAAAAAGGGCGGTGATACCGCCTCATGTCAATGTGGGTGTTGGTGTATCGTAGAGGGAAGGAGAGTTCGCCTCTCACACACGCCGGAGATACCATGGACTGCAGTGGACAACTTCAGCTGCACTCATCTCGGACCCTTGACCTCAACGGAATGGAATGCTGGTGGACCGGTTGTGAACTTGGAGGCCAATGAGTAACCCCAAGAGGATGATGACAATGAAGACAAGGACGGCTGCGGTGACCGTGATGGTCGCGCTCCTGTGGGATCTGGTCATTGGCGGTAAGGAGTACCTGGACAAATCTCCCCCTTCCCCCATTTTACTTATTTATTTTTGGTCTGATGAAGGAAACTGTTTGATGTTGTCAGCAACAAGAATGATTCATGGCCAACGTGTACAGTCGTATCATGCGATACAATAAAATTCAAACAACTGTTAGTGACAGCTATTGAAGTCAAAAGGTCGACTGTTTTACCAAGGGCTGGCAATGATTAAAAACCACCAGTTTCTCACGTTCAAAAAGACATCGTCTCAACTCAATAGTTTTTACCTTTTGATGAATGCGGCGTAGCATTTTTTTGGTTTTGTTTCCTTTCGCCCGTTGTAGGACCCGTTGTCAGTTCAGTGTGGAGCAGGTTGTCAGTATTTAACTAACGGCAGCAAAGTCTTTGGCTGTTCCACTGTGTGGTTTCTGTCGAGCTGTCACAAAGACAGCTAACAAGTAACTCAAGTGGGAAACGGAGTCTTTTGGAAGAAATAACAGAGCATGCTGTTATCTATCATTGTTGTCCTATGGTCTTACCTAGAAATCATTTCCTCAATGAATGAACCATTAACAAAATGACTATCCAGTTTCTGAGACGGATGGCAGCAAAATAGTAAAAATATCACCATGTTGTATGAAAACATGATCAAACAATAAACGGAAAAAAATTTTTAAATAGAGCCCCCCCGTGAGGGGCTGAAACACATGAAGGACACTATAGAAGAGTAATTGCTCACATTTTAAAATGTACACATATATTTTTCCCTTGACTTGAGTGGCGGCGTAACGCAAATTTTGGCTCGCAAAAAAATAAATCTATCAATTTAGCTAGCTATGTATATATAGGAGCTAGCTAACTTCTATCTAGCTAGCCACACACACACACACACACAAAAGAGTATTTTAATGTTGGTCACGATGGAGCTACTTGGACAGCTTAGTGGCCGACAATTTTTTTTCCCTACTTGGAGTAAAAAGTTTGAGAACAAGTGGTCGGTTGGGAAACAGCTGCTGTTGGGCTGTTTCCTTCGTGGAGTATCGGATCACATATCACGTTCACAAGTCACAGAGTATCAACTTCCAGATAAAAAATCCCAAGGTCAAGGGCACACTTTCCCACCATGCCGCCTCACCACGCTGGAACGATTTCCGCCAGGAATTCTGTCTCGGGGAATTTTTGCTTAATTAGATTACTGGAAAGGGAAGGTTGAATCTTGCCATTTGTTGGCGATGGTATTTTATAATGCTTGGTGCGGAACCCCTCTTATCCAGGTCCATTTTGAACACATTTTAAATATCGAGTCAGACTTAAACGTACCCGCTTGAATTAAAGTTCCTTTTCAGCACTCCAGCGCATGAGTTGTGACTGTTCAATGAGGACAGTACATCTATTCAGGAGCATGTCACTGTTGAGTCTTTGTGCATTTAATTGGTTTCATTCGACAGGAGATGCATCTGATTTCACTTTCATTTTAGAAATGGTGCCATTGGATCCAATTTGAATCTGGTTGAATTTTATCTGATATGTCATTGTGTCTTCAATCTGATTTCACGGCGGGTTGAACTGGACCGCAAATGGGATTTTATCTCATTCCGGGAGCACATTCAATCTCATCCAATGTCATTTTGGATTCAAGATGATTTCATTGGGGATGAAAATGAATTTTACCGTCGATTGAAGGGCAATTAACCGCAGATTTAAATCGACTCGAATCAAATTTCTTTGTGGATTCAATCGTCTTAAATCGGATTTCACGTGGCCTTGCTTCTGACCTGCTCACGGTGATGTTTGACAGACGTCAGCGACGTTCTGTGTCGATGGAACACCAGCTGCCTTTTAGAGGGCAAATTCTCCATCGGAGATGACGTGGTCATCCACTGGATCCAGCTTCCACAGATCTCGGTTCATTCCTTCTACCACGAGGCCGACCGGCTCCAGACCCAGGATAAGCGCTTCAAGGGCCGAACGTTGCTGTTCAAGGAAAATATCGGCAAAGGAAACGCTTCTCTGCTGCTCAAGGACGTGGTTGTTGGAGATGAAGGGAGGTATAAGTGCTATGTGGGAACCCTCATGGGCACCAGTGAGTCGTTCGTCAACCTCCACGTCGAAGGCAAGTCGACAAATTGTCTGATGTACATCAGATATGCAAGCAAAGACTCTCGACGATTGTCTGTGTAGATTTTCAATCATCCAGGTTCACTGGTGGTACTCCACCTGGACATTGTTTTCTCGTCGGCTGTTTGCAGCTCCGGTCACTCGAATCCATTTTCATTGTGACGGACGGCAGCTGATCTGCAGCTCAGACAGAATCTTCCCTGCACCTGAACTTCGCTGGTCCACAGAGCCTGCGCTACCTCATGCCCTCATCAACACCAGCGAAGTCCGCCAAGAGACGCAGACGGAGCTGTACAACATCAGCGGCTCGCTCGACCTGGCGGGTGACGCTCTTCCGGGCGTGGAATACGTCTGTGACGTCAGCAGCTCCAGCAGCGGCAACAGAGTCACGTGGAAGAAAACAAGTGAGATAATTCATTTGGTTTTTTTCGTGAGCAATTCTTTTTTTAGTCGTTTTAGCAAGATTGTTTTCGTTCAAAGTGCGAGTCATTCTTGTCTTCTTCCAGTTGTGAACATTTCCAACGTAGAAACGAGCATTGAGTGCGCGTCAGTGAGTGACCAAACCAGCCTCGTGTGGACGTTCAACAGCACCGACATCATCGCCAGCAAGCGAGCCGGCCACAAACTCGACATCGCTGAGCATTGGAAGAAGCACGTGAAGGGTCTGTCCGAGGCGGGCAGCCTCGACCTGCGGGCGCTAACGGACCGCCAGAGCGGAACGTATACGTGCACGTTGAGCAACGCCACGAGAACGCGCGTTCACGACGTCTTCCTGAGCTTGACGGCAACCGAACACGGTGAGCTCCTACTCAAATGAGATGACGTCACCCAAAAGACAAATCGATGTACGGCAGACCCTCGCCAATCGGTCAGCTGCCATTTGCGAGGGTTCTTCTACGTTTTATTTTAAAGCGACATGGAATACTGTATGTTTTTATTGTTTTCAGTAGAAACCCTCCTTTATTGTGAGAGTTACAATCCAGATATGTATCATCGAGTAAAGTAGTCCTCGGTGTTCTCATGATAAGTTGAGAAGCGGTGGTGTACACCGGGTTGTAAAATGAAATTGCATTCATATTGAAGTGTTTGGGGTAAAAGCTTTCAACTAATTTAGTCACTTTAATTTTTTTTTTTTCGCAGGGATTGATCATTTAGCCACGACCTAGTGACATTGAACCGGTTCAAAAAGATCCCGAATCAGCTTCACATTTTGTGTTTTGGTCAATTTTGTTGCTGTTGAGAAATGACAACACGCCGTCGGGACGAACAAAAGAACTCGGATCTTCTTGTTGCAGGAAAACCCAAGGTGGCTGGCGTTGTGATCGTTGTGATCGTCCTGCTCGTCGTCGGAGCCGTGGCTGTGGCGGTGGCCATCTATTTGT